GAAGAGGAAGAGGAGGAGGAGGAAGAGGAGGAGGAGGAGGAGGAGGAGGTGGAGGAGGAGGTGGAGGAGGAGGAGATGTTGGTGATGCGGGAGGGGAAGGAGAAAAGAAAGAGAGAGAGAAACCCGTTAAGGCGGTACGAGTAACGTGTCGGTAGAAGTTCTTGCGATTGATAGAGGGACTAAGAGAGAGGGACAGAGGCGAGGTCGACGAAGGTGATCGGTAGCATCAACCTGCGTGACTTGGGCACAACCGATTAAAGACGAGCGCCGAGCAACGAATCTCTCGCCTGCTTTGTCGTCGTTGATCCCCAATTCGTTGTGACGTATTCTGGTACGATCGTCGTCCCCCGGTCGATCTTCAGCCAGGATCATTCGCAGTGTAACGAGTACCCTTGGCGATATCGTGGCACGGAAAGCCCTCGACGATCCGGTCGCTCGTTCACATTCAGGATCCATCGTACGTTGCTCCGATGCTACCTCGTAAACCAATTCCGTGGTTTCCTATCTTCGCGAACAAGCCGTTCTGACCGGTTCGATCTGGTTCGCATTGGCGAGAGAGACACCGTCGAACCGTGTCGTCGTCGTCGTCGTTGTCATCGATTCGTCGGACGATTCGGCTGATTGCGATCAATGGGCTGCGACAGGCGGTCATCGATAATGCAAGAGTACCGAAAACACGGTGCATGGACGGTAACAGCGGATCAGCTACTCTATATCTATTTGTATCTTTGTCTGAAATGAATGTAACCGAGGATGAGGTGGACTCTCATCGTAGAACTGTGCCTCCGTACCAGCGTCAGCCAACAGGACCAATCGAATCGTGCGCCGTGGTTTTGATCCGTTGGTGACTGTGGACCGGGGGGCGACGGTGTTTCGTGATCGTCGAAAGTTCAAAGAGAAACAACGAAGAAGACGGATAAGAAGAAGAGGGTCGGACCAATCCCGTGGCGAGTAAACGAAACAACAAACGAAAGTGAAGGAGATACTACGATAAAACCGCGAAGGTGGTGGCGTCTAGATAAGAAGGAGGGCTCGGAAAGGAGTGTGGATGAGACCGTCATGCCCGCTGAGATCGACACGGGCGGGCCAAGGGTGCTGCACTGTGATTACCGTGCCGACTGCCCGATACCGATCGTAAGATTAGCTTCCACCGAGTCTTCTTCCCTGCGCCGCGAGAATAAACTTGTTCAAGGGTCGATCGTGCGTCGACTACCGCGGATCAATTCGCTCGACGATGGAGCCCTGTGCTCACGACGTTGCAACGGTTTGCCATCTCGGCGTGTAGGATGCAGTTCTTCCGTCCATTCCGGATACAGGGGGTACCGTCGAGACGAGCGTTGCGCCAGGCTCGACGTTCCAGCGGCGATCCATCCGTCGGACACATACGAACGGGATGTTTCCCGCCCGGAACAATTGGAGTCGCGGTTACGCGGCACCAGCGACGTGTTCGATAGGAACACGATCGAAGATCGTGGATCGACTCGCGGCTATTCGAACACAGTACGAAGATATCGACGAGATCTATCGAGGTCGCACGAAAACGATATCATCACCGACGACCGCCACGGCGAACGAGGCTGTTGTTCGAAACGCGACTTTTCGGCGGAGAACTGGCCGCAGGTCCGTGCCGCGGATCATCATCGTACAGGGGAGGCGTTGTTCTCTAGTCAGTCGTGCGACCGTCACGCATGGACGGAACGGACCTACGAAAAGCTCGTCACGACCAGCACGCTTCCGTCCTTGGCTATCCAGAGGAAGAATGCACGGGGGAACGTGCCGGTGGACGCGACGAATTCCTCGAGTCGCGAGTCGCGCGTCCCCAAGGTCGGCCCGACCGATGATCGTCGGACCACCGAGTTTCCACGATACAACGGGTCTACGAACACCAGCTACCTGAGGGACAGAACGAGGAAGACGAGACGCGAGCAACCCACGAACACCCGTACGTCGTACATACAGCTCGCCTTTCTCTTGTTCCTCGTCGCGTTCGGTCAGTGCGGTCTCCGGAAATCGAGTGTGTTCAACTGCAGTGCGAAACCGGGCGGCGGCGCCGGTTTGAGTGTCCTCGCGATCGGTACGGTTATCAGTGCAGTGAGTGCCGCGCCGGTCGATTTGACCGGTGACGCGGGCGTTAGAGCAGAACGTTCCGCGAATTTGTCACACATCACCGGCGCGTCCCGGAAAATTCAGATGTACATCAAGAATCGACATCTACAGATCTTGCCGGACGGAACCGTGAACGGATCGAACGATGACACGTCGGATTACAGTGAGTACACGAGCATTTTTTCTGTTAAGGGGGCACATATGTAGATGCTGTCTGTTTCACAAGAGATTTGGAACGATATCTGGAAAAGCAATTGATATTTTTCAAAAATTCAATAGCAGGTTTATAGTACATCTAAAACACTACAACGCAATTACCTAATACGAAGCATAATCCCCTTCATTTTTAACTATAGCATCTATGATTTTGCTCTAGTTTTCCGCGTACCTCTCGGGGAATTTTTTCTATATTTCTTTAATTTGGCGGCATAGCTACTTGATAGTAAGTATAGGCCTTCCATAAAGTTTAAGTTTGATGATGCTCTAGACATTTTCAATCGGATTAGTGTCTGGTGATTGTGAAGGTCAGTTTAGTGTTTGGATACCATTTTTCATTTTTCACGAAGTGCACAGCCGACGTCGGTTTTTTGAAGGATTGACTTCTTGCAACACCCAAGATGAACTATCTTCACCAAACCACTTTCTGGTAGACTTCAATTTCTTATAAAAAAAAGACACTTTTCTTATAAAAAATTTTAAATTTTTACGTGTTTTAAAATTGTAAAATGGTTTTGTCCTCCATATCATGCGCGTTCTTCCTCTCTTTTCAAAATTATACCGTTTTACTCATTTCCTTACGAACTTGTTTGACTTTTTCATCTAACTAGCCGTCGCTGTTTAAAAGATCAATTTCGATCCTTTAGGATGTATGCAAAGAAACACTGCTTCAAACCGTTTAGTGTGCGCTGCACTCATTTTGAAATTCGAGTGTTTACAATGACAGACGAAGCCGAACTGACAGATTTTTAATGACGCATCGTAATGTTTTAAATGTACTATAAGCCTGTTTTTGAATTTTTAAAAAATATCAATTATTTTTCCCGATATCGTTCCAACGCTCTTGTAAAACAGAGTGTATTAGACAGCTAAAATGAACGATTTCTTTTGACTTAGATTATAGAGTGAGTAATAACTCATACCATTTGCTCTTTTAACAATTCTTTAAAACAAGAAAATTTACAAAATATTAAAAATTAATTGAAACACGAGACATCAAACTGAGTGCTTGCGTAGCGCGCGCGTCGATGTGATGAACACGATTCCCATTGAACGATTCATCTAACAGCAAAATCGTTGTAAACGAGTATTCTTTAACTCAAAATCTACAAAATGGAACTCGGTCGAAAATTTCTAATAATTATCCGTGGAGTAATATAACAAATACCAACTCTGAACGCTTTTCCCGAAATAATTCTGTGGAAAATGTTTAATAAAATTGTTTATTGTCATGTGATTTTAATGAGCGAGTTCCACTTTGTGGGGGAAAGTGTTTTGTAGGTTCAGTTAAAATTTCAACGAAAAGTATCGATCCGTTCTCGAGTTACGATGTTCATCGTTTTCAGAAAAACGGTTTTAAAGATTTGGATACACGTGTACCTGCATTGATCCCGCCGTCACTTCTTACGCTGTAACTTCCTTTTTTCTGATCTTTTTATAAATATCCCTAAGACATTGCATTTTCCAAGGGTTCGGTTCAGACTTTCATAAACAATCGAAAAAAAATTTCGATGTTTTGAACCCGAAATACCTATGTACTCCCTTAATTATTTGTATATTTGGCTTCTCGACGATACCTTATGAATGCGCGTGAGCGAGCACGAGTCTCGCCGGTGCTACTGGAACGTTTGACCCTATTCGTTTTGTTGGACTGGTGCATCCGCATGCCTCGGTTCACGTTTGATCGATACTTGAGATTGATGTTACCATGTGTACCGGGGTTTTCTTTTACTCGTCTACGGATAGAGTGGTTGTTCTTTTTTCGATCACGTAATTGATGGTGCCGGGATATGTTGGCGATCGAAAGAAGTTCTTGATTTCGTGTGTTTAACCCCTTCAGTGTGGAATTAATTTTAATGGATGGAAAAAATACGTTTTTGTATATTTTACTCTGTTTAGGTTCAAATATGATTGAAATATTTTTCTCAACTTTCCTTCTTCATTTGTGTAAAAAAAAAATGTGGATAATTATGCGTATCTGTTTCTGATGGCTAAATAGCGACATGTTGATAGTGCTTAAAAAAAGCAAACGATGAAAGTGACAATTTTATTTTTTCTACATTTTATATAAATACGGAAGAATTAATTTTTAAAACATTTTTAGTAAGTATACTAAATTGAAAAAGACCTTATTCCTTTTTTCCGCAGATGGCTCTTCCATGATGATTCAAGTATTAAATAATCCAGGAATCGAATGACACAATCGTGTCAATTTTAAGTTATGTTCACAAATGTTGCCAGCATTAAAAAACATACAGCATGTAAAATAAAGTTTATTGTAAGGACTCTTAAAAAATATTAAAAATATATTGGCATAATTATTCACACAGAGTCTGAAGGAGTTAAAATGTGATGGAGTTTTCGCGCGCTGTTGATATGCACTTTTGTTCGTATGTTAACTGGACACTTGAGCATACGTTAAACATCTTACAGAATTACTTAAAAACAATTGCAAAATTATAATCAGTTGTGAATCTTGTAACACTATCCACAGTCGAGCGTAATAATTCTGGCGACTGATTTCTAAAAGACTAAGAACACCCGTAAGAATGAACGTATAACGAGTGGAAGTGATTACAGACTGATTTGAGTGGAATCAGATGAGAATTATCATAAAAATTCACTATTAAATTGCCACGATTCATTCGGATAAATATTCCTGAATGAAATATATACACTGATTAAACAGGTATTTAAGATTATTTACAACACTGAATATAATTTACATCTTTCTTGCAATGTGCAATATTAATAAGGATTCATTTATTTCGTCATTTAAGTAAGTTTTAACTCGAACACTTTGTTATTCCACATTTAGTAGCATACGTGTCCGGTGATTTATGAACGGGAGTGTACAGTAAGGGACAGAATTATCCGTATATTAGATATTAATATTAAGAATGTTATTAATTTCCATTAATGTGTTTATGCACGTAGAGCACACATAAACGTGTAAAATATAGTGAAACGAATACCGTAGGAAAGAGTAGTGAAATTTTTAAATTAAATTTTTTTTACTTAAGAAATTCTTTGTGGCCGTAACGTTTGTGGAGTAACCAATGGGAATGCATATTTCTATGAATATACAAAGTATGATATTAATATTTTCTATGGAAACATAAATATATTGGAGTATAATTAGTAATTTTAAAAGACATAGTTCTTTTTATTTCCACATTCTACTGCACGAATACTTTTGTCCCTCGCTGTAGGCCCGGAGGTTAATTCTTTTAGGATGAATGACGATTTTCTGTTTGAACAATAACTTATCTATTCGCATTCCTTCAGCATTTTACGCAGTGTAAACGTAGGATTAATAGAGATGACATTGAGTTACCATTTGTCATTCTCTTCTTTTCTGATATTTTGTTGTGTCGGGTTTCAGAATCTTTAAAAAACTTCTGGCTTTTCAAAGATATTGTCAAGTATCCTTTATATCACACGAGGTCGTTGAATTATTTATCTGAACGAGTGCGCCCAAATTTTTAAAGTTTCGTCCGATCATTACTGCCGATCGAGGGTAGATCGTAACTTCCGGTTGTTCGCTACTTGATACCTATAAAATATTCACAGCATACACTCAAAGTTTATGGCATCTCTTATTCTCCATATATTACCATAATATCTAAACTAGATTTATTTAAATAAGAGAAAGTAACTTTCACGATATTTAACTTACCAAGAACGTTGCTTATAGACGAGATTCATAATTGGAGGGAGCTCAAAGAAACGTACGGTAGAGTCTCCCGTATCTGAACTAATAGATAGATATAGGTGTTCGGATAATGGAGCAACCACTTTTCTATTTGTTTAAATGTTTATGGATCCCATATTTTTTTGGCTGCTACATTACGGAAATTATTTAACAGAATTATTTAACGTTGAATTCGTCGAACAGAAGACAGTAATCTATGTAGACATAATCTATGTAAGTGCTACATAAATCGCCAACTGCAGAAAAGGGACATGTCAAAATCTTATAATTTTCAGGAGACGAAAGTTTGCAGGAGACATCTCCTGAACATGTCCCGTTTCTCTATAGTAAACGAAATTTATTTACGTTCATAGATCACTAGATAACGTATAGATATTTCCCTTTTCTGCAGTAAACAATGTATTATTCAGCCAACAAAAATCGTACCCTGTCAAAGAATGAATACCTTAGAAAAACGAAGAAATCCCCTTTCTGCAGTTAGCGATTCACATATTTGCAATAGGAGAAGGCATCCGTTGCTGAGAGGTAGAAATGGGCAAATTCATTATCTAGATAAAAAGTTTCGAATAACGAATAAAAGATGAAAAAAATACTTCGTCATTTTTACTCGATTGAACGTGGTAATTTTAATTTTTATCATGAAATAATATTTCTTCTTGAATTAGTAGACACTTTGCAAATAATTATTTAATCTCATGAAATGTTTAAAGGTCAGGTTGACGATCTTAGATACTGCTGCTTCTCAGTATGTATTATTCGAATAAAATTGTGCCCATCTCTGCTGAGAGGTACTCTGTTCGGATAACAGAACGTATGGATAGTAAAACGTTCGAATATTAGGGTATTCAGATAATGGGCGTCCAGACACGGGAGATTCTACTAATTCAAAATTTTCCAAAATAAAAAGAAATTTCACGTGACCCTCCGACAATGTTTAGCTAGGAGACCACGTGTTTGTTTACGATATGTTGATAATGTACTAGACTGGAAGAGAACGAAGAGAAGGAGGAATCATCCCAAAGCCGTCAAGATAGTGTTCCTCTTCGAAACTGATCCATTACTTTGTATTCCCGAGGATAATTTTGATTTCCACGTGACGCACGCTCGACTCTCACAGGTAGCTGGTGGTCACAATCGACGTCAATTTCCCCAAACTCCGTAGACGTCCGTCTCGGTATTCAGGGGTATTCAGTTTCGTCTACGTCCCGGCTCGTCGACGCGGCTTCATCGATGACGTTGACCTTATTTCGAGATCCCCGATTGTGCATTCGAAACG